GAGTCTCTTGTGTTGCTTTCTGACCTGATTTAATGCAGGGTTGTTGTTTTGTTTAAATAAAAGTCAAAAAGTGGAGATGCCGGGGATTGAACCCGGGGCCTCATACATGCAAAGCATGCGCTCTACCACTGAGCTACATCCCCTAGTGGTGGGCAGGGTTTTCCGAAATGATGATGGTGATCAAACACACGCTGCTGTAAAGTGATTTCGGCTCGTGACGTTGGCGTCATGAGCTGAGGTCTCAGAAAGAAGGGAGGGAGAAAGAGAGGAAAAGAAACAGAGAGAAAAAATTGAAGGAACGGAAGAGGAGGAATACAAGAAAAGGAAACGTAAGTGCAAGGCCTTACATTTATCCGTCTATAGTTACTTGTCTGGAAAACTTCCAGTATGGTTCATCCTCGTTAGTATAGTGGTGAGTATCCCCGCCTGTCACGCGGGAGACCGGGGTTCGATTCCCCGACGGGGAGGCCACAAGCTAGGTTTTGCATTTCACAAATCCCTGGAATTTTGGAAATCCTGTACCTATGTACTGCGCAACAGACCAACAGAGTCTTGGCTTATCTGCCACCTGCCACCGTCGAGCCTCTTTACCCTTTCCTACTTTCGTGAATTTTACAAGGACCTCCTGAGTTCACTTGGGTTCGTATATGTGAACATAGCTAGGATGGAGGTCCAGCCCTAGGCATCTGGCTAATGCCAACTCCAAAGAGTGTGTCCCAGCCTGCCGACAGGGCTGCCTCTACAGAGACCCCTTCCTTCTCCAATTTTTCTTTCCCACCTTACTCCATTTTTGTCGTGAATAAGTTTTGTCATTTATTTTTATTTATTTATTTGTAAAAGCCAAGGTAAAGTATGTTCTGAGAAGCATAAAGCAGGTGCCCACTTCTCACAAAGGTTTTGTTTTTTAATTCTTGCTTGGCCTGTAACCCTGGCAGGCCTTCAACTCCAGGAACAATTGTCCTGCCTCAGCCTCCCCAGTGCTTAGGTTACAGAACTTCATTTCCTCCGCTCCCATTTCTTTGTTTTGTTTTTTGAGACAAGACTTTACCCCAAATGACTCTTTTTTTTTTTTTTAAGATTTGTTTATAATTTTATGTGTTTCGCCCGCGTGTATGGATGCGCACTACGGACATCCCTGCTGTTTGTAGATGACAGCCAGAGGGGCCAGGTCCCCTGAAACTGGAGTTGATAGTTGTGAGCCTGAACTCAGTCTCAGTCCTGTCCAGGAAAGCCCAGCGTGTGGATGGATGGGTACTGTAGCCTGGCTGTGTGACCTGCAGCTGCCAAAGCCACGTCGAAGCCCCCAAGGCTGGGAGTGCCAAACAATAGAAAGGTTAAGTCCTCTAGGACTGGAGGCTGCAAGCCCCTAGTTCTCTCTCTCTCTCTCTCTCTCTCTCTCTCTCTCTCTCTCTCTCTCTCTCTCTCTCTCTCCCCCCCCCCCCCCCCCGTGTGTGTGTGGGGGGGTGTGGTGCGTGTTTCCTCTGTGTGTGTGTCTGTCTTTCCTCTCCCAACTGCTTATCATAAGACCCACCCCAATGACTCCACATAGTTGTAGACATTCTTTTTTTTTTTTTTTTTTTTTTTTTTTTTTTTTTTTTGGTTTTTCGAGACAGGGTTTCTCTGTGGTTTTAGAGCCTGTCCTGGAACTAGCTCTTGTAGACCAGGCTGGTCTCGAACTCACAGAAATCCGCCTGCCTCTGCCTCCCGAGTGCAGTTGTAGACATTCTTTAAGGTCGCGTTCTGACGTATTACATACACATTGTCAGAGCTGAGACACGTGACTTTTGGCGGGTACACTTAGGGGACCTAGGTATGCTAAATCGACTGACTTTGCTTGCTCGGAAAGACGACAGTGCCTGTGGTCAGCTTTCCACCCAACCATCATGCCAACTCTTGGCCATAATCTTCACCCCTTCCCACCCCCAATCCCAGATCAAGGCCGTCAACAAGGTCCCTTTCCTCCTCCTAGGTCCCCTCAAAGTCCCTTTCTAGGCCCGCCTCTGCAGAAGTGGCCCAGACACCACAGCTCCGGGTTGGACCGCCACACCAGCACTCACCCCTCCTGGATGAGGCGGCCTCTGTGGCCCACCGGCCCTTGCTTTCAGTAGTCGGGGAAGACCTGTGTTGTGATTCACTCCCCAGGGGCTTCCTTCCAGCTCTGCCGAAAACCTAATCTTTCTTCTGGCCACTTCGGGAACCTCACTTTTCTCCCCCTGGTCCCCAATACAAGCCTTTCCCTTTCTGATCACCGAAGAGAAGGAAGCAGGCAGAGCCTGGGTGTTTATTCGCCTAGCCAGCGTCTGTTACCACCGGGTGCCTGGCAGAGGCCTGCGTGTGACCAAGGGATGAAATACAGGTGGTGTAAATTTCCAGGCTTCGGATCTTAGAAAAGCCAAGGAGGCAAAACTGTCGAAACGACAAGAAGGAGAGCAAAAGAGCACAGCAACACCGGCTGCCGAAATAGCTCAGTTGGGAGAGCGTTAGACTGAAGATCTAAAGGTCCCTGGTTCGATCCCGGGTTTCGGCAGCTACTTACTTTTGTGCACTATTTTCTTCCAATTTACTAAACGTTTTCATATTTTTTTCTCAAAAGCCCTGAGCATCGTGCATTAAAGCCAAAGGTCCTGAAAACTTCCCAGCTTCTCCCTTTTTGGGCGAATCGAAGTGTTCCTAAAGTGCCTTATGCCGAAGCGTGTGTTGGTCACTGTGATTTTTGTCGATGTCTGCTGGTGTACGCTTGGCGTCTTTTTATTGATGTCTGAGGTCTGAATCCAGGTGTCAAAATCAAAAAATCAAATAGAAAATGGACATTTCAAGGGTGAGTTTCAATCAAATCTGATTATTTCTTGGTTTCATAAGCTAATACGTCACGGAATTCAAAGCGTCTTAAGAGAGGTTCTTGCCAAGCCTGCAGACAGCTCTCATCCTCGTTAGTATAGTGGTGAGTATCCCCGCCTGTCACGCGGGAGACCGGGGTTCGATTCCCCGACGGGGAGATTGCAAGTTTCTTTTTATCAATTCCGTTTTTTTTTTCATCCGTCTTCCAACCTATTTAAATTCTTCAACTCCCACGGACAAACTTCATCCTGCCGCAAAAGAACAATAAGCTCTCCCCTCACTGCTGGGCCCCGTACTCTTTCACGTGAGCTCAGCTTGGGTAGCTGGTCACAGAAAAGCTGCTGTACCTTGGTGTCCCTGGTCCCCGCAATCACGCGATGGAGGCCCAGACCTGGCTCACTCTGCCACCTACACTGTGTCTCCTTACTCCAGCCTCTGCCCACACACAACCTTCTGATGTCTGTCAATTTGAAACGTTTCCTTGTCCCTTTTCCATTGTACATGTTCCCAAACTGTCACCATCCTTCAGTTCATTTATTCTCGTGTGGGCCCCTTTAGGGAGGCTGGGTGGTCAGTAAAAAGGAGCCAAACACGAGAACTGAGAATCATTCCACGCTGAGGGAATAGCGAGCGCAAATCCCTGTGGGGAGGGAGAGGAGCAACCTCGGCTTGTTCCTTGAGCCTTGTTCAAAGCCGGTCACTTTTTTATCTGCCGGGTTCTCTCCCAGGGCGTCGGACCCAGAGGAGGAAGGGCCAGACCGGTTGCCCATGGACTCCTCTCTTCCCTGTGAGCAACGCAGTCTCTATCCCCCTGAGACCCAAGGGCAAGATGATGTATGTGGGACTTCACGCAGTGGGCAGGGGGATGACGGTGTAGGATGCAGCAGCCCTTTGCTACAGTCCACACCAGCGACTACTGACACGTCTCGTTCTAGAACCTATACAGGCTCTATCCTTGACGCCTGTCCTAGTGAGCAGGGTTGGTTGGGTCCGTCCCTGTCTCACTTGAGGCTCAGAGAGGTCCGGCAACGCCAGCTGCTATGCCAACCTTCTTGCAGACGGCGCTAGGCTGCAGTTGCTGCGAGCGCGCTGATGAGTATCGGTGTCAGGCAGATCATTTGAGGGTGCAGTATCCACGCCGGAAGTGATAGGCAATCCCCAGGTGTAGCGACTCCCAAAGAACAGTCCCCCGGCCCCCGACAATGTTCACAGAGATAGTGCAGTCTGAGTCCTTGCTCCAAATTTGAGCCCTAATTGTGGGGTCTGCAACCCCCACAATTTTCATATCCAGAAATATGGATATTTCCATATCATTTTCATATCCATAAAATTCTTCCAGGAGAAGGGCAGGTGAAAGGAGAGAGGGAGAAACAGAGACACACAGAGAAAGAAGGGGGGAGGGAGAGAGAGAGAGAGCGCGCAAAGCTGCATGTTTTAATAGTGACATGGAGGGAAAAGAGAGAGAGAGGAAGGGCTTCAAGCAGGGTTATAAACTCAGTCATCGAGGTCGGAAAGTATGGAAGCAGAGAATTCTGGTGAGGAACACAGGTCAAGTCCTTATTCATTGGGGTTTTATTTTTGTTTTATTTCTTTCTACTTTGTTCTCTGATTCGGGCAAAATTTTAGCTTGTATCAACGCAATAACGAACACGTTTGTTTGCTAAATATAAGACAATTAATTTTGCTAAGCCCTCAAAACCCACGCAAATTTAATTTAGAGGAAGACAAAAAAAAAAGTTATTCATAGAGTATAGCAGGGATTTTCCGAGAGGCTATAAGGGCATGTGGGGGATGTAGCTCAGTGGTAGAGCGCATGCTTTGCATGTATGAGGCCCCGGGTTCGATCCCCGGCATCTCCACTTTTTTTTGTTGTTTTTGATTTCTGGGTTTTGCAACGAAATAGAGCCAGGAAAGACATTCTTTTAAGGATTGCCACGACGGTAATATCTTGGAACTGAGAATTTTACCTGTAAAAATTTAAATACGCGTCGCTGGAGGAATCAAAAGAAAGCAGGCAGCAGGGAAAAGTGAGGACGGTACGGGTGTGGAGATTGCTGTGCCAAAAAGGACCATCAGGGGATTTTGCATGCGTGACATTGAACCCCGGGGCCTTTGCATGCTTAGAGACGCACGGTATCTGCGTGTTTTACCATCCAATTAAAGGTGCACTTTAGTGCTCTCTATACTAAAACTGGAACGATACAGAGATTAGCGTGGCCCCTGAGCAAGGACGACACACAAATTCGTGAAGCGTTCCATTAAAAAAGAAAAGAAAAAGAAAAAAAGGCACTTTAATAAAAACAAAGCAAGCACGACTCTAATCCAAGTACTCGGGAGACAGGTGGATCTCTGAGTTCGATGCCAACAGGTCTTGGTCTACAGAGTGAGTTCCAGGACAATTAGAGCTCTAAATGCAAAAACAAACAAACAAAAAAAAAACAACCCAGACAAAACAAAATAAAAAACATAAAGCATAAATGAAAACAACGAAACAAATAACAGAAAATCAGATCTAGAGAAAGCAAGGCCTTTGTTTTTATTTATTTCTTTATTTACTTTTTGAGACAAGACCTCATTAAACCACTCTGTCCTGGAAACTACTGTGGAGACCAAGCTGGCCTTGAACTCGTAGAGATCGCCTGCCTCCTTATTGCTGGGACTTAAAGCTTAAATCACTGTGCCTGGCCCTTTATTTTATTTTTAAATTATTACTTTGTGTTTTATTTCACCTGCATGGTTTTTTTCTGCATGTTTCTAGGTACCATGTGCTTGGAGTGTTCGAGGCCAGAAGAGGGTGTCAGGTCCCCTGGATCTAGAGTTACAGATGGTTGGGAGCAGTCGCGTGGTGCTACGAACAGCCGGTGCTTGTAACCCCAGGCAGTAAATATTTGTCGTTGTGCCGGTATGGGTGCACACCTTTAATCCCAGCACGCCGGAGGCAGAGGCAGGCTGGTCTACAAGAGCTAGTTCCAGGACAGTTATGGCTGTTACATAGAGAAACTGTCTCAAAAAAACAAAAATAAACAAACAATGTCTTCGTATCTTATTCATTTCTCACATTGCCCCTCCAGTTCCTCCAGGATCATCTTATCCCCATGTCCCCTCCTCCCAAACTCATTCCCCCCCCCCATATATGTGTACACTCACTGAGTCCAATTTGTGCTCCCCATATACCATGGGTGGGGCCATTTGCTGGAGTATGATCAGCCTACCAGGGACCCTCCCTTCCTGTCAGCCATCAACTTTCCATAGCTCCTGAGCCCCCTTCTCCATCAAAGCTGACTGTTGACTGGCTCTTGTTGTGAAATGGTTTTACACCGCAGCTCTGGCTGACTTGGACCTCACTATGTAGACTAGGCTAGTCGGGAACTCACAGAGATCCACCTGCCTCTGCCTCTCAAGTGGTCAGATAAAAGGCATAAATCAAAACTACCAGCTTATTTTATTTAAAAAAAAAACAGGTGGGGTGGAGAGAGAGAGAGAGAGAGAGAGAGAGAGAGAGAGAGAGAGAGAGAGAGAGAAACAGATCTCTTAGAGCATTCCTGTACCTACTTGGTGTTGCTTGGCTCTCCTCATGTGGATATTGGGAACCAAACACGGTTCTCTGCAAGAACCGTAAATGCTCTTATTCGCTGAGCCATAAGAAAAAACCGTAATGTTCTCCCAGGCTCCATCCCTGCTTAAACCCTTCTGCCCCACTATTCCCCCTTCCTCTTTCTTTTCCTTCCTTCCTTCCTTCCTTCCTTCCTTCCTTCCTTCCTTCCTTCCTTCCTTCCTTCCTTCCTTCCTTGAGACAGGGTCTCTATATGTAGCTCTGACTGTCTTGGAGCTCACTGTTAGACCAGGCTGGCCTCAAAACCCCCAAGACATCCACCTGCCTCTGCCTCTCCAGTGCTGGGATTAAAGATGCACGCTACCGCTCCCAGCTCGGCTTCCATTTCCTTACTTCATGTCTTCCATTGCCCTGCCACTGCTATTCATAAAGCCCCATTTTTCCTCCTTCTAGACCCCCTAGTTTCTTACAGTTCATATATAAAAATTAGAAAATAACATTCCCATATAAAAGAGAACATGTGATGTTTGTCTCTCTTAGCCCAAGTTACTTCACTTAATATGATATTTTTTCAATTTCATCTATTGTCCTGCAAATTGAATAATTTTGTTTTTCTTTCTGGCTGGCTTTTGTTAATTGTTGCCAATGTCACACAGGTAAACAAGGAATCTTGCTGTTAATCCCATCTCTCTCTCTCCCATTTTCAACACCCTCATTCCCAGTCTACCCTTTTTCCCCTTTCTGTCAAAGTTTTTCTCAATTATTTTTAAAGATTTATTTACTTTTATGTGTGGGTGTTTGCATTTGCACCACGTGTGTGCCTGGTGCCTGAGGAGGCCAGAAGAGGGTGTCATATCCCTTAGAACTAAAGCCAGCGCTCTTACCTGCTGAGTCATTTCTCCTGCCTACAGGGTCTTACCAAGTACCCCTGCTCTGGACCTCACCATGTAGACCAGGCTAGCCTCAAATTCAGTGACCCACCTGCCTCTGCCTCCCAAGTGCCGGGCAAAGTTTTTATTTTTGAGACAAGATACTAACATGTCTCACCAATTATGGGCTGACACACTGGCTTAATGAGCTCGGGGAAGGCTCTTTCTCCCTAAAGTCAACAAGGGTTAAAAAGACGTTGATGGTGATTTTTAAAATGATCTCTGTCTGCTCTGACAGGAAGCTAATTACCTGCTTCTGTTTTATCCTTTATCCTTTTACCAATACTCGGGATAAGGTAAAACACCAGGAGGGGTCGTCATTGCCAAAGGCTTTGCTAGGAGGGGAGCTTCTTCTGTAAAACTTTAAGACAATTCTGAAGACATTTCTGAACCCTCTCAGTACTTCCCCTCCCCCCACTGGGAACCAAGGACCTAACAGCTACACATGCACGTACTGAGATGTTGGGAACTTTTCATCTCCCTGAAAAGGGGCAAGATAACCCCTTAGGTGTTGACTGAGTGACTGATGTTCTGACTTAGGCCCTGGGAAAGGGGCAAAGTGACCCTCAGATGTTTTCCCTTACCTCATCTGATCTGGCAACCACTCTCCAGCCAATTATTGGTAATAGGCCTTTTGAATAAGCCAATCATAATAGTTAAAGAACAACCCCCAGCGGGCTTGGAGAAATGGTTCAGCGGTTAAGAGCACTGACTGCTCTTCTAGATGGGCCCGGGTTCAATTCCCAGCACCCACATGGCAGCTCACAACTGTCTGAAAATCCAGTTCCAGGGGATCTGACACCTTCACACCAATGCACATAAAATAAAGATAAGTAAATCATAGAAAAAAAAAAGAACAACCCCCAAACACCCCTTCCTTTTGTGTTTTTTCCCTTTAAAAATAGCCTGTATCAGACATTTGGAGTCTTCTAGCCTCCCGAATGCTGGAAGACCCTGTCATGACAGAATTAATAAAATCATCATTCTTTTACATCAGCTGTGGTAGTGAGAGACAGTCTCTGGGAGGCGACTCCTCCTCCTCAGTAATTGGACTCTAGGGGCCAACACTCCAAAGAGTTATGAATTGGTGAAATTTGTTCTTTCTTTCTTTCTTTCTTTCTTTCTTTCTTTCTTTCTTTTTTTTTTTTAGACAGGGTTTCTCTTTGTAGCCCTGGCTATCCTGGAACTAGCTCTGTGAACCAGGCTGGCCTTGAACTCATAGAGATCTGCCTCCCAAGTGCTGGAATTAAAAGCACGAGTCACCAATGCCCAACAAAAATATGGCAGAGCTCTGGGAATCCTTCAGAAGAGGGGAAGGAAGGATTGTAGGACACGGTGGTGTCAAGGGCACCATGGGCAAACCCACAGAACTAACTAACAGGAGCTCATAGGGGCTCACAGAGACTGAACCGACAAGCAGGAATTGTGCATAAGACTGACCTAGGCCCTCTGCATATATGTTACATTTGTGTAGCATGGTCTTCTTCATGTAAGACTCCTAACAGTGAGAGCAGGGATGTCTCTGACTCTGTGGCCTGCTTTTGGGACATATTCTTTCTACCAGATAACCTCATCCAGTCTTAACAGGTGCCTAGTCTCACTGTAACTTGATATACCATGGATGGTTAAATGCCTAATATCCATGGGATGCCCAAGTGCATCTGTGGAGGAGTGGATGGGTAGGGGGGAACTGGGCAGAGGTGAGGGAGGGAAACTTTGGATGGGATATAAAAACAAAAAATATTTAAAAAATGACAATTTTGTTTTTCAACTGCTGCATTTTATTTTAAGCTGGAAGAAATGGTTCATTACCGGTATTTCCAGAACATGGATGGCCGAGCTATATGATGAGTTCCAGGCCACTGTGGGCTAAGAGACCTTGTCTCAAAACAACAACAACAAAAATAATTTTAAATGGTGACCGTGGAGAACATACAATGACACATATGCATGGGAATGGCTTCAGGAAACCTGGAAGTTTGCACGCTAACCAGAAAATACTAATTAAAAAGCTCTTTTACAGTAAGAAAAGTCCGTTAGAGCCCGTTATAAGTCCATGGATGGGGAAGATTAGGGGAGGGGTGAGCTAAGTGTTTAAAAGAGATGGTTTTATGCCAGGCAGTGGTGGCACACGCCTTTAATCCCACCATCCAGGGAGGCAGGGGCAGGTGCATCTCTGTGAGTTCAAGGTCAGCCTGGTCTACAGAGTGAGTTCCAGGACAGTCAGGACTACACAGAGAAACCCAGAAAGATGGGTTGTTGTGGCTCAGTTCTGAATCCCAGCGTTTGGAAGGCTGAGGCAGAAAGATTACATGGAGTTTATGATCAGCCTGAACGGTATGATATGAAACTCTCAAGAGCGCAGAGGGACCTGGAGAGATGGCTCAGCACTTACAAACACTTGCAGACAACCAGAGTTTAGTTCCCAGCACTCACAATCATCTCTTGTTTAAGATTTTGTGACCTCTGGGAAAAGACCATAGACTCAATCCAGTTATAATTAAAAGGTTCATTAATTAGCTGATAGCAGGATGAGCAAACTGAGCCAGATTTGAGATTGCCATGTAGGAGGGGCATGGGGAAGGCCTTTCTTTCCCCAGACAGGATTATTCTTTTTTTAATGTAAATATATATATTATTGATTTTTATTGAGCTCTACATTTTTCTCTGCTCCCCTCCCTGCCTCTCCCCTCCCCTTCAACCCTATCCCAAGGTCCCCATGCTTCCAATTTACTCAGGAGATCTTGTCTTTTTCTATTACCCATGTAGATTAGATCTATGTA